AACAGAGAGAGAGAGACCTTGAGACCTGGCCATCTGGGGCCAGGTGGCTGGCCCTGGGGTGAGTGGGGTGTGTGGTATGTGGGCCCGGCCTGAGACAATGTCATCAGACCCATGGTCACCAGGGTCCCTTCCAGGGCAGCAGGGTCCTGTGGACACCGGGGCACGTTTGGGTCAGGAACCCAGCAGACATCTGGCCTTTCCCTCGACACGTGGGTCAAAGCAGAGGATTTCCACAGAGCCCCCGTGGCCCTGGCTGTGGTCTCTCAAATGCTACCGGCCATCCGATAACCAGATCCCCGAACCTTCCCTCCCCAGCACCTGCCCCAAAGCTGGCGTTCCAGAAGTGTCTACGGAGACGAGATGTTGAAAGAGGTTTCCCTGGCCACCACACGGAGAGGAAAAAAGGCTTCCTGCCAGCAGAGCTGGTGAGACTGGATTTGTGTTGTTAGGGACACAGAGAGCATCTGGCAGGACAGCCGACGACTCTACAACATGAAGCCTCAGGGAGAAAGGGAAGCCTTTGTCTTCACTCATCGAGGCCCCAAGTTCGTCGGCCCCGCTATCCGGACACCTCACATCAAAGCTAGCAAACTGTTTCCTAGAAGAAACAGGGCAAGCTTGTGCTTCGGCAGAGAATATAATCCCTGCCTGGCCAGAGAGGCTCCTCGCTTCCAAAGCACTGAATTTTGGCTAATTTCCTCTGCATTGACCATGCCACGGAAAACCCATGTTTCTGCTCAGATGTTCTCTTGGGTGGAACTGAAATGGGAAAGACAGGGTGAGAGCCAGAACTGGAGGAACAGGCTCTCTCCATTCCTTGCTCCGAGGCTTGGATGCCAATATCGTTGGGAACACCACAGCACCGCTGGGAATCCCAGGCCCCTCTCCTTCCTTGATGCGCCTCTCTTGACAAATGCTTACGGAGTCCCTACTCTGTGCACGGCAGCGTGACGCTTATGAGCTGTACAAGAACAACGAAAAAATCTCCTAAACTCATCTCACCACCATATTTACAAACAGCAAAGCATATGTAGATTTTTTTTTTTTTTTGTAAATTAAACCCTAGAGAAGAGAAGTTGAGAATTAGTAATGTATTTTCCTGTCTTATAAAATAGCATGGGTTATGTTATGGTATAGAAATACACCAGAGCACTGGCCAGACCCCGGCGAAGGCTGATGCACTTGGGACTCCCAGAAAGGGGTCCATGTTTGGTAAGGTGGCAAGGGGCAGGATAGAATGTCTAAGGTTGTTTACTTTGTCGTTTGTTTTTTTTTTAAGTTTCTTTCTTTCTTTCTTTCTTTCTTTCTTTCTTTCTTTCTTATTTTAAACATTTATTTATTTTTGAGAGAGAGAGACAGAGAGACAGAGAGACAGAGTGTGAGCAGCGGAGGGGCAGAGAGAGAGGGAGACACAGAATCCAAAGCAGGCTCCAGGCTCCGAGCTGTCAGCACAGAGCCCGACACGGGGCTCAAACCCACGAACTGTGAGATCATGACCTGAGCCGAAGTTGGATGTTTAACAGGCCGAGCCACCCAGGCACCCCTAAAGTTTATTTTTGAGAGTGAAAGAATAAGAGAGAGAGAGAGAGAGAGGGAACGCATGCCAGGGAGTACGAGTGGGGGAGGGGCAGAGGGAAAGAGGGAGAGAGAATCCCAAGCAGGCTCTACACTGTCAGCACGGAGCCCAACTTGGGGCTCGATCCTATGACTATGAGATCAGGATCTGAGCCAATATCAAGAGTCAGACACTTAATCGATGGAGCCACCCAGGGGCCCCAAGAATGTCTAAGTTTTAATCTTGGTTTCTAAAAAAGAAATCTGGAAGAATTTATATGCTATGTTGTCATTAGTGGTCACCCTCAGGGGTAAGATCTTTGGGGCAAAGGGGGACAATGGAGGTAACAGGAGATTCGCTTTGTCATTTGATGTATTTCTGTACTACTTAAATGCTTGTAATGGGTAAGTTCTAGATTTATAATAAAAAAAAGGAATGAATATAAAAATAAGGCAGTGTGGTAGTGTGGAAGGGAAAGGACCTGGCTGTCAGATCTGGGGCCTCGTCCCAGACTAGCCACTAACCCATGTGATCCTGAACACACCCCCTCCTTCCGCTGAGCCTCACTTTGTCACCTATGGTGAAGCAGGTTGGCCAAGGTCCCTCCCAGCATCGAGGACTGACTCTCCAAATAAGACTTCCTGAGCTGATCTTGGGGGACCTCGCCTGAGCCCTGGGACTGTGCCTCCCTGCCAAACCGGAATCAGGTTTCCCTTGCCCCCAGGAAGAAACAAGCCAGGAAGCATTCTCCCCCAGCCCACAGGAGGGAGAGAGGCCTCTAACACCGATAAGGAGCTGATCTGTTATTTGTATGTGAGGCCACGCCACAGAAATTCCAGCTTGAGTAATTCAGGAGAGGTTTCCACGTACGCATTAGATGCAGATGCGTTTGGATGACTATTCAACCCGCAGGATTCCTTCCCTGGTTCCCCCTCGGGCCAAACACTTCCCACGTCAACACTGACCCTTCATCATACCTCAACGGGCTGCCATTCGCCCAGGACAAACACATGCAGCATGTTCACATCCGGATCCTTGTGGAAGATGTTGGGCTTGGCGTGATGCTGGAAGTGACGATGGTTCCACCAGTTGGCGGAGGCACCCTGTGGGGGAAGACGGGGTGAGTGGCACGGTTGTCTGGCGGGGGGGTGGGGGGGGACCAGTTCTTAGGACCACCAGTGCTCAGGGTTGACTTCACCATCATACACGGGGCCTTGGGCACCCCCCGCCCCCCAAACATCAGCATGCAGTCCTGCCGGGACTAAGTCCAGAGCGCTGGGCGGCCCCAGAGGCCAGGACTTCTGGGTGGAGCCAAGCCACGCCACCCCTCCAGGCCCATCTTCCCATCGCCTTCAGCGATGGCGGGCAAGGACAGCTAGTGCTAGGCAGGCGCCTTGGCAGGTGTGGGGTGGCCTCTGGACTCTACCAGCACCAGGTGTGAGCCTCCCCCCCGCCCCACCGCATCCTCTGTATGTCCCCCACATGCCACGTTCCACAAGGAGAAACACTTCTGTTTCAGGAGACGGTAAGAAGTGGTCTCTACTCTTTGGCCCAGGATCCCACTCGGAGGCAGGTACCCAAGAGAAATGAAAACACGGCCACACAAAATTGGACACCGATGTTCCCGTTATTCAAAAGAACCCAAAAGTGGAAACAACCCAATGTCCGTCAGCCTGATGGCTGGATAAATAAAACGTAGTTGATCCGCATGACGGGATACCGTTTGGCCACGCCATAAAAAGGTGTGAGGCACGGATATCTGCTGCAACGCGCAGGAGCCTTGAGAACGTCATGGTAAGTGGGTGAAGGCAGACACAAAGGACCACGTACGTGATTCCATTTATATGAAAGGTCTGGAATAGAGAATCTAGACATAGAAGGAGCCGTGGTCGCCTAGGGCTGGGGTTGGGGATGGGAGGGAGGGATGAGGGGGTTGGAAGGGGGGTGGCCATGAGCTTTGAGGTTTCTTTTGGGAGTGATGAAGATGTTCCCCCAAACGACGGTTGCATAAATCTGAGCACATACCATAAGCCGTCGGCAAGAGGCAACCCGACAGCCGGATAGGCTGCTGTACCGAGGGGTGAGGTCACACCCGGGAGGCCAGAAGGAGGATTTAAGAAATGACCCCTAACAGGAACAGGTAATAGCTTCCCAGTTCTAATATGTAAATATAACACCATGATTCTAGGAGACAAGAAGCATTATGTAAGCACGTCCTGCAAGGTCAGAAAGTTCTGGCTCACCAACTCCAGCTCTTGCCACACTTTGGAGACATGCCCATCCCCCAAAGTTGCCCTGTGGCCCACAAAAGGAAATTAAGACCTTCCTGATGACTGTCTCTTTACTGGTGAACTACTTCTGGATCAATCAACTCTTTGGCCAAGGGTCCGGCCATCTGCAAAAAGGCCTCATTGCTAAAACAAATATTTTACTTGGAAGATACTTTTGGCACACACACGACCTCTGGACACTAAGAGCCATGGGCTGGCACAGCCACCCGCAGCTGTAGCCTTTGTGGAGACCCGTGAGCAGGTGAGTCTCAAAACCCATCAGAGCCAAAAAAAAAAAAAAAAAATGACAGTGAGTGAGAGTTCAGAGGACTGGGAAATCAGATAATCAGATGACACATTCGCCTTTCCAGCCAGAAGGAAGGAACCCAACTCCTGGGGAAGGTCATATGGAAAAGTCTCTGGCACAAAGAAATTGAGGAGCAAGCCATGCTGTTCAGGATACACCAACCCAACGATGTTTGTTGAATGAATAAGTGAAAGAAAGAAGGCTGAACTGCGAAACCGCCCCCCTTCCCCCGCCACCGCCACCGGGGATGACTCAGTGACCGACTGCCCGACTGCCCGAGAGCTATCTCACTCTCTGGGCAGATCAGAGACAAAATGTTGTTTGATCTTGCTGTTCCCCTGCTGTGATTCTTTTCCATTCTTCACTAGGCAGAGCGATCCAGAGGCAAGCCCCTGACTAGGGAAGGAGAGGAAGGCACCCTAGCACACTGAGATGGGGCCCAGGAAGAGAAGCAAACCTGCAGGAGGAGGGGACTGGCTCGCTCTGCAGGCTGGGCAGGAGGGGGCCTGGCAGAGTGAGTGACAGGTGCTTTCCAGACAGAGGGAGGAGGCTGGGGGGCAGGCCTTGAGGGTCGGGGAAGGGGTGGTGTGGACTGCTCCAGAAGCCAAAAGCCCTTTGGTTGAGTCGGAGACCCAGGATCGCGGCCAGTAATCCCAGGGTCGAGCTATATCAGAGCCTGAGGGAAAAGGAAAAAACGTGTACCCCTGGCTGTAATGAAGCAAGCAAATGCATCAACAAGAGTTTCTGGATCTACTTTTGGTTCGCCTCACCTTCTTCTTTTTTTTTTTCATTTTTTATTATTTTTTTAATGTTTATTATTTTTGAGAAGAAGAGAGACCAGAGAGCAAGCAGGGAAGGGGCAGAGAGAGAGGGAGACACAGAATCGGAAGCAGGCTCCAGGCTCTGAGCTCTCAGCATAGAGCCTGGTGCGGGGCTCGAACTCACAGACCGCGAGATCCTGACACGAGCTGTAGTCGGCCACCCAACCGACTGAGCCACCCAGGCGCCCCTTTATTTTTCATTTTTTTCAATGTTGATTTAGTTTTGAGAGAGAGAGACAGGGAGACAGAGCGCGAGCAGGGGAGGGGCAGAGAGAGAGGGAGACACAGAACTTGAAGCAGGCCCCCGGCTCCAAGCCATCAGCACAGGGCCCGACGCGGGGCTCGAACCCACGGACCGCGAGATCGTGACCTGAGCCAAAATCAAGAGTCAGACGCTTAGCCAACTTGAGCCACCCGGGTGCCGCCCCAGATCTTTCCTCCCTTTTGTCTCAGGTTCCAATATGGCTCAGCACAGCCCTGACCTTTCTTTAAAATGCTGCTATTTTGTTCATGGGCAAGTTTTTTGCATTAATTTCGTTTTTTAAAAAAACATATTCAAATGTCGATTACTGAGTCTTTTGGTGTCCCCCGAAATTGTGTGCATGGGCAAGTTTTGTTCATGGGCAAGTTTTTTGCATTAATTTCGCTTTTTAAAAAAACATATTCAAATGTCGATTACTGAGTCTTTTGGTGTCCCCCGAAATTGTGTGCGCGAGGCAAGTGCCTCCCTCGCCTTAACCCTAGTCCTGGTGGCCCGAGATGATGTACTGAAAAGGCCGCCGGTTTTCTGGTTTCCATCTCCAGATGCAGAGTACCGATTAAAGGGTTTTAAACAGGGGTGCCTGGGTGGCTCAGTCGGTTGAGTGTCTGACTTCAGCTCAGCTCATGATCTCACGGTCCGTGAGTTTGAGCCCCGTGTCGGGCTCTGTGCCAACAGCTCAGAGCCTGGAGCCTGCTTCGGATTCTGTCTCTCCCTCTCTCTCTGCCCGTCCCCGACTCATGCTCTGTCACTCAAAAATAAACATTACAAAAAAAAACATTTTTTTTTAAATAACAAATAAAGGGTTTTCAACAGAGGCGTGATGGCTCAGAACTCTTGTCCACTGGAAGTGACAGGGCTGAAGGAGAGGGGGCCCTAGGGATGTGGGGAGCTCACACTGGAATCCTGGAGCACAGCACGGTGCCAGTAAGGATCAGGTCCCAGCTCCTCGAGGCTCCCGGCCCGCCGTTCTCCGTCCTCACCGGCTTGTGCTAAAACATCCAAGTTGGCAGGGCACTTGGGGACCTCCCTGCAGCCAGCCCCCTTTTTTCCCAGCAAAGGGACCAGACGAACAGGTGGGCCTACAAGACTTGTCTGCCGCTGTGTGACTACAGGGTGCCCGAGCGATTTCAGGCAAGCCGTTACCCTCCTGGCTCCAGAGCACCCCGGGGTGAACTGCATACCTGTGCCACTAGCCTAGACACAGCCGGAAGGACACGGTTAGCGGAGGGCTGGCGAGGCACGAGCGGAACCCATGTCCCCGATCTCTGCCCATTGTGCCAGGGTTCTGATTTCATGAACTCATGTCCTCTGTCCTGGCCTCGTCTTCCATCTGACATAAGAGCGAGGCTCCAGGGCCCTTCAAAGACCGAGGGACATCAGGCAGGAAAGGCCTTCCCTCCCGGCTCCCACCCGGCGTCTGGAAACAGGACACGGCGGCCCGGCCCATCTTTGTTAAGCGTGTGGGGCTGACACCGGTTGGGAGTGAAATGTTACTTTCCAATACGGAGGAGGGTTTTCTCCAGCAGGAGAGAGTATAAAACAAAACAAAGCGCTCCACTATACGCACCCTCTCCCTTCACCCCTGAATGTTTGGAAAGAAACCAGGTTCTCAGGCCCCTTCAGGCTCAGGATGAGGCAAACTGCTGTGGAACTCGTTACTAGTTCGTTGCCAGTTCACCCCCAACCAGACCCGCAGCCGACAAGCCAAGGGCTCCGCGCAGCCTGAGTTGCAGGGACACATGCTTAATCCACACATGTAGCTCTTCCCACGCCAGGGTGAGGAGGGATGGAATTGTTTAGGACACAGCCTTTCTTAGGGAGCAGCTGGGGGCTGCTGGGGAAGGGCTGAGTGGGGGATGATCTGTCTCAGAATGAGTTGGCAAGGACTTATTTCAAAAAACCAAGGACACACGGCTATCAAATGAGCACAAGGTCACGGGCAAGGCCAGCCTGTCCTCTTCTCAACTTGCCTCACTGTAAAGCTTTGTGGGGACACCCCCTCATCTGCAAGGAGGTGAGAAAGGAGGACCTATTTACTCATGAGCTTTAAACAGCACTGGCCCGGGGCGCCTGGGTGGCTCAGTGAGCTGGGCCTCCTACTTCGGCTCAGGTCATGATCTCGATGACTGTGGGTTCAAGCCCCACGTCGGGGCTGACAGCTCAGAGCCTGGAGCCTGCTTCGGACTCTGTCTCCCTCTCTCTCTGCCCCTCCCCTGCTCATGCTCTGTCTCTCTCCAAAGTAAATAAACATTAAAAAAAATTTTTTTTAATAAAAAATAAACAGCACTGGCCCTTGGGCTCAGCTGATCATCACGCTATTTGATGTCCCTTATCTAAAGACTTCTATGACAATATCTCCCTTCGAGATTAAAAGGAATTTACTAGATAAGGCTTTAGATAAGGAGTAAACAATATAATCGATTGAGTCAATATACAAAAGCAGGATACACCTGCCCTCTGGGGTTTTTTTTTTT